TGGGGTAAGGAGCAGAAAGTGGGATGCCAAGGGACATCCAGAGAATTGTTGGCTAAAAAATCTTACCCAATTCCCTACATCCAGAGACCAGGATTAACCCAGATCCACCACTAATCCCACTATAGCCTGGGCGGGGTTTGCCAGATTTGGGTTGTGACTTAAAAAGACAGTGTGTCTTTTTGTGTCTTTCTAAAGACAGTCCCACTTTAGAAACTATAGGAATTCTTTTTATGCTTGAGTTTGTTTCTGTTTTGTTTTGTTGTTTAGGTTTTTGCTTCTTTTGTTTGTATTGCCTATTTTCTCATTCCTCAACTGCATGTTTGAATATTTTTCATGTAACTGAACACTGTCTTTAGTCTTTGTGGTTTGCTTCAATATTCTTTAGATTTCTCTTTCATTCTTTCTCTCCTGCTTTCTTGAGTTTCCCAAAACTCTGGTGATCAACCTTTGTCCTTCAGCCTTACTTATATTGTCTTTATTTATTTCTCTATTTTCTCCCTCTCTTAAGTCACCCCCCACACACCCAAAACACACAGTGTAAAACAACTCTAAGTGGAAACTCGCTGCATACAAATTCATGGGTTTTGTTAGATTTTGTTACATAACTATAGATCTTATTCCTGCAGGTAAAGTTACCATATTAATAGCTACCATGGTTTATGAGTTTATAGGCTGGCTTTATACTACTGTTATTGCCAACTATATTACAGTAGCCAGGGTGTCATATCTATTCTTATCCATTATTCTTCTTTGTATGACAATACTGGGATTGTTCAGGGTTATAATCATTACTATAGTCAAGTACAAAAGAACTGGGTACTGGGCCAAAGAGACAACAATTTCCCCTCCATAATATATTGCAAAGGTAGGATCCTGGGACAGACTCAAAGGCCAAGAGCAAGCAACACCTAGAAGACATCACCGAGGAACAGTTGTTTCCTAGAGAAGCCTCAATTCTAGTGATAAAGCTACTACTGTAAGTGACTTATAAACATCAAGCCAGAAAACAAATTAAGATTTAAAAAATAGAAAATGACAAGATACAGAAGCAAAATGCAACCTCAGACCTCCAGTCCACACAAGACAAATCCAGGGGACAATGATGAGATAGAGAAAATCAGAAGCCATCCACCTGAACTTTCTAAAATGGCAATAGACGTTTAAAAAAAACATAGATGAATAAAATAAAAATAGCTATAGAGAAAAACATAAAAATAATCTCTCAGAGGGCCAGCCAAATAGATCAGTGGATTAAAGCGCCTGCAAGGAGGTGCAGAGGCTGGGGGTTCTATCCCCAGGCCTGCCATGCTAGCCCCAGGGGTGCGCTGAGCTGGCAATTGCAACTGGGCGTGGTGGCGCACACCTCTAATCCCAGCTCTTCGCAGGCTGTAAATAGGCAGATCACTATGAGTCCAATCTAGTAGTGAGACCCTGAACACCCTGTAGACTCTTCCCTAAAATACAAAATAATAATAATAATTTCTCAGGTAAAAAAGTAGGTGATGAACATAATGAAAGACTTGCTGGGTGAATCTAGAGTAGACTTAGGTTAAGAAATAGAGGAGCTTAGAAAAATGATGAAAACCATGAATGTCCAACATAGAAAAGAGATGAAATTCATAAAATAGATTTGAACAGATATGCAGAAGATTCTTAAAACTAGCAAGGGACCACAACAAATCAATTCAATAGTTCAAGATGATAAGAAAAACATAAGATTGGTCCAAAAAGCAGGAAACAGCACAAACAACATTAAAAACAAACATGCTTACACAAGTAATGGCACAAAACTTTCCAAGCATGGAAAAATGATTTGACATACAGATAAGCAAGGCATATAGAACTCTATTAGTGTAATAATAACCTTCATATAGACAAAGGGATATAACAGTCAGTTCAGAAATTCAACAGGACAGATTATTAAAAGCTGCTAGGGAAAAGAAACAAATTACCCATAAATGAAAGCCCATCAAAGCGGAGAGGGGGCAAGATAGCTCAGCAGACTAAGCATCTACTTAGGCAAGCATAGGGACTGGGATTGGATCCCTGGCACCACATGCCACACCGGCCCCATTCCCAGGCATGCTGAGCTGGCAACTGAGTCTGGGCGTGGTGGCACATGCCTGTAATCCCAGCGCTGGGGAGGCTGAAAACAGTAAGATCACTGTGAGTCCAAGCTGTGTAGTCAGACCCTGCACAAAATACAAAACAAAACTGAAAGCCCATCAGAATCACAACAGATTTCTGAACACAACCCCTTAAATCAAGAACTTGGAATGAAGTTCTTCAAATCCTGCAATCTCCAGACTAGACTGATGTACTCCATAAAACTATTTTTCAAAATCAGTGGAGAAATAAGATGCTTCCATGACAAAGAACTGAAGAAATTTTTGACCACCAAACCAGAACTCCAAAATATTCTGAAGGATATTCTATAAAAAGAAGTCTTGTATTTCTTTGAACACCAAAATAAAGACACCACCAGGCAAGGCAAGCAATAAAACAGAAGGGAAAGACAGGGAAAACAACAACAGGAAAATTATATGACAATGATAAGTCAATACAAGTCAGTTAAAATGATAAAAAACCCACAAAGTTTAACACCTACTCATAATACAAACTCTACAGATAATTTAACTAGTTTTTATCTCAATCTAAAAGCTATCACAAACCAAGAGTCATCATCATACTAAATGGTAAAAATATGAAAGCTTTCATCTGAGAAATGTGAATTAAAGCAACACTGAAAGGCCATCTCTCCAGGAAGAATGGCTATATGAAGAAATCAACCAAAAGGGCCTATGAAATAGCTCAGCAGTCTAAAGCACCTGCTTAGGCAAGAGCAGGGACCACAGTTCAATCCCAAGCACTACATGCTGTGCCAGTCCCACCCTGAGGGCAGACTGAGCTGGTCACACACACACACACACACACACACACACACACACACACACACAGAAATTAACCAATAACAAATGCTGGTGGAATTGTGCAGAAAAAAGAACCCTTCTCCACTGTTGGTGGGAGTATAAACTGCTGCAACCACTTTGGAAGTTTATGTGAAGATTCTTCACAAAATAAGACTAGAGGTTCCACTTGACTCAGCTATTTCCTTTGGGTGAAATCTGGAAAGAATTAAAAACATCATACCACAGTGATATATACATACCCATCTTTATAGAAGCACAGTATAGAACAGCTAAACCTTAGACACAGTTCAAATACTCATCCATGTATGGATAATGATGCATTTCTATAAAATGGAGTACTACTCAGCTATAAAGAAGGATAAATGACACGGTTTTAGGTAAATGGATACACTTTGAGAACATACTCTTAAGTGCAATAAACTGGACACACATGTAAATATTGCAATGTCTGATGTGAGGAACAAAAAGAATAAATAAGGGTATAATAGACATGTGAAGTAGGAAGAAAGGAGGAGGAGGGGGAAAGGAAGAAAGGGAAAGAAAGTCAGGGAAAAAAAGAAACAAAGCTTTTGTAAATAAGGAAGGGAAAAGGCATCAAAGGGAAGGGAGGGGAATGGGAAGAAAAGAGGAAGCAAGATATATTATGTCCTCGTGCAAATTCCCTATAATAAATTTGATCATTATACAATACATATCTAAAATATGTCAATAAAATTAATTAGAAAAGTACAGCTCAGTAGCTTTTGTACACATACACACTTTCCATCTTCACTTCAATCTGTTGCCCACTGCCTTCTGTAACAAGACCCAAGAGAGTTTCCCTGTCACTTAATGGCACTACAATAAGTAAGGATTTTAATAAAACAAATCTGGAGGCCTTCCTAACCCAGAGGCAAGACAGGTCTTGCCACTCCAGGAGGAGTTCAGACACTGGAGTAAGTAGGCGTGAGGTCCCAATGCCAAGTAACTGCATGAGTGTCACATGATCAATGCAGAGTCCAGAGTCACATTTTAAAAGTTGGCTTAAAGCCACAGAAAGGACACAGGCTATTAAGTCAGGTAGTCGTATCATGGAGTTACACTGCTTTTCTGACTCCATTCTGTATTGGTAAGATAAGGATGATCATCTCCTTCTTTTCCACAGAATTTAACTGAGAATAAAATGAGCAAGGATAGAAAGGTGGTCTATAAAGTGGAAATGAAAGTAAAATATCTTACAATTACCCACCCATGCCACAAAGGTTGCATCACAATGAAGTCTTTCTAAATTTTATTGGCACCGAAATAGAACATGGATTGAGCATAAACCTCTCCAATTTTTAAAAAAAAAAAACAAGAATACACCAAGACATGAATATAAAATCTAACCTTTCTCCCCAACCTTCCTGGTGAAGGCTTACTGCCTTACTTAAGGCAGATTAAAATGCCCCACAATTCCAGGTTTTAATTTAGAAAATATAGGGTATAAATGAGTGTCAAAATAATTCACAGCAATGCAGACAACACTCCCCAAGTCAGAGCAGAGAGATCCAATGAGGCACTGGGCTATGGGCACAGGGCATCCCCTTGGGGAATGAATCTTGGGGAGAAGGCAAACAGGAACAATAAAACCAAATGCCAATTACTTTAAAAATGGATTTTATGACCTATAGTGACAAGTAACAACAGTAATACTGAAAGCTTCTTACATTAAATTTCTGGCAAAATATCCTTTTATAATATAGTATATGCTTCCCAGGTGTAGGGGTAGTAAAGGACATGAGGCCAGAATGATCCTGGCCAAGGCTAATTCTTCTAATTGTGTATTAGCAAGAAAGGTAGAAATCAGTATTGAGTTAGATATC